AGAAGACTGTAATGTCACCCAGGTGGTTGTGAGGTTGAAGTCTCTGCAGGGCCTACCAGGGCAATTCTTTCTGTGAAGAGGATTTGGTTTTGTCTCTGTGCTCTAGTATTGATGCTAAGAAAGTTTTAACTAAGTTAAATAGAGAAGCCATCAGCTGATGGAACTCATGATTATTTTCCCTCTTCTAAAAGTATAGGTTACATCTATAGGGCTTTCTTTTTGAGTTGAGGTTGCTCAGTACTGTCCCATAGAATCATACTCATTCCAGCTATTCTCCTTACGACTGATAAATAATAAGGTGGATAAGTAATAGCCATTGGTAGTCTCCATGTGCCAGGCACTGTTTTAAGTGCTTTACATGTATTAACTTAATCTTCACAACAACCCTGTGAGGTAGGTACTCTTATTTTACTCATATTATGTATGAGGAGACTGAGGTGTACAGAAGCGTTAACAAATTGACAGAGTCACTTGTATACCTGTGGTATCTACTAATGGTAAGATTTTTCAGTTATTTGTAGCATCTCATTCTTCACATTACCCAGGATTATTGGTTTTCTACTGCCTTAAAGTCTTACAGGGCGCCTGGGTGGGTGGCTCAGTCAATTAAACGTCTGATTTCAGCTCAGGTCATGATCTCATGGTTCGTGAGTTTGAGCCCCGCATCTCTCTGTGCTAACAGTGCAGAGCTTGCTTGGAATTTTCTCTCCCTCCCTCTCTCTCTGCCCCTCCCCTACATGCATATGGATACTCTCTCAAAATAAACAAACTTTAAAAAGTCTTACTGCTGATTAAATAGCATTTACCAATCATTTTATTTAAAGGGTGCCATATTCTTAAGTGGGTGAGTTCCATAGAATTGACCTTTTTTTGAACATATATCAATATGGGGCACCTGGTTGCCTCAGTCAGTAGAGAATGTGACGCTTGGTCTTGAGGTCATGAATTTGAGCCTCATGTTGGGCATAGAGATTACTTTAAAACGTTTTTTTAATAAAAATTAAAAAACATGTATCAGTATAGCAATAAATTCAAAGGATATCATGGAAAAACTATTAAAATATGTTTGGTTTTGAATATGTTATGGTTATATTATCTGTGCTGAAAACCGTTTAGAAATACTTTTCCTTAAGATTTACATGTAAGAGCTTTTTTTTTTTCTTAATTCAATTGCCCACAATTCTCCTCCTCCTCTTCTTCTTCCTCTTTTTTCTTCTTCTGCTTCTGCTTCTTCATTCATGTTGTTGAAGTTATATATGAAATTTCTTTAAAAACTGAAATTATCTATGAAGTTAGATAAGATTTGGTAAACTAATAGAAATTATTCAGTATATATAGCTTGACATTGAATATTTAGTCATGAATTTGAATTTAGACAGACTACCACAAAATATTTGTAAGCAATCATTTTATAACTAGATTGCTATTTTGGTGACTGCTTTTATTAAATTTAGTTTTATTAACCATTTATGGCCTGGTAGGATTATCTACCATACACAGTTACAGGACATTGTCATTGTCTTAACACCAAAAAAAGTACAGGCTGTCAGGTAAATACCTTGTTTATCTCAAGGAATCTTGATACAATGATGTAATATTTTCAGTTATATATATTCATTACTTTTTCTATATAAAATTTAAACTTCAGTAACATCAATGTATAAGATTATACATGATTAGTTCCATTATCACAATTTTGCATGTATTTTTCTGATTCTAAGTTTTATATAATGAACATATTCATAAATCCCTATCTTTGGTAGTCAGTGCTATTTAAGACATGTCTTTGGGTATGGTATTTTTATATAATTATTTCTTTATAGAATTCTGCATTTTTTATCTGTTGACTTTTTCAAAATGCATATTGTTTAGTGCTAGATTAAAACTGTTTATAGGGTAAGTAGAATAATTGCTGTATACTTGGAGGGACATATGTATACCAAACTGAAGTGAAACTTTTAGCCTAATCTTAGACTTGGGAGACAACATGATTTTGAAAAGTTACAAGTTTGTAGAAGGATGGTTGTTGGTGAAATAGTAAGTAGGGAAAGAATGTGGAAAATGGGAAATAGGCAGCTCAGGACTGGGATCTTTGTTATGAGAAACTTAGGAAAAGGAAAATGTAGTTATGAGCATCTGTGGAATAGATTTGGAAGCATTTTAGAGGCATCCCTCTGTGCATTTGTATATTTCTGGATCTCTGTGACCTAACACAAAAAGTGATCGTAGTCTCTTTGTATTATACATACCTTAACAGTTGTTCTCTTTCCTACTAGACAGTACTTAGTGTTTGACTTTTATATATTTCTGCTTTAATATATCCATCCAAATGACTTAGACCCTGCTGGCATTGTGTCTCCATTTCTATTTTTCTTTCCGAGATTTTTACTTTTGTAGCACATAGCAGAACCTCCACCCCTGCTCACTATTATTTTGTACTTTCTGTATTCTCTTTTTCCCATTAACCACCTTACTTTCTGTGTATCTATTTTAATCCTGAATGACCTTCCTGTTCAAATAGTGAATCTGTTTTGGGGATAGGAACTTTTATAGCCAACATTTATTCTATTCTCATGATAAGGAAGTAGTTTAGCAATATATTCCACTATCTTCAGTATTAAGAATGGTCAAAGTAGTAGAATGTATAATGAAGTTATAGTTTTGACTTAATCTAGAAGTCATGTATCAGAAGTTGGAAGTGTCACCTTTGTATAGTGTTCCACTTACTCTACTTAGATAATACTGTTTACAAAGAAGTATTCCTCTGAAATGGAAGTATGTTGGGGCGTCTGGGTGGCTCAGTCGGTTAGGCGTCCGACTTCAGCTTGGGTCATGATCTCACGGTTCGTGGGTTCGAGCCCTGCGTCGGGCTCTGTGCTGACAGCTAGCTCAGAGCCTGGAACCTTTTTCAGGTTCTGTGTCTCCCTCTCTCTCTCTGTCTCGCTCTCTCTCTCTCTCTCTCTCTCTCTCAGAAATAAATAAAACATAAAAACAATTTTTGAAATGGAAGTATGTTAGGGTTCAGAGGAAGCAAATCCCAAATTACCGAGGCCTTGCTTAGATTATAGTATGGATAACAGGGAAATTGAGACCAAATGAAATCATTTACATAAATGTAAAATAAAATATCATTGTTTTCAATGTATGTAGACGATAAACTTTTTTAGCAACAAAAGACTCTGATGGTTCATAGTTTATCATCCTCCTTGAAATGAGGTAATTGGAAAAAAAGTATTGACTAAATTGATTTTTTCTTCATCATCACAAATCTATTTCAAGAAGACCCATAGTTAATAAAAAATGGTATTTCCATTTAAGGCAATCAATCTATCAGTTACTTGGGTTGGTTACAAAGTATACCAGATGTTTTTAGGATGAAAATGTTAAAATTAATTAGAAGAGCAGCTCTAGTTAAATTTCTTGGGCCTCATCCTAAATGATCGTGATTAGACACTGAGGATTTGGTTATTTTTATTTGATCTAGTGGTGGGGTATATGGCTTTGTTTTTGATTAGCCAAGAAATTGAGATAAAGTGTCTGACTAATAAGATTAAATACAAGTAAACTATCATTCTAGCCTGGAGGTAGGGGTAGAATGATATTATTTTCACTCAAACTTTGTCTATTACAAGTGATCGGTTTTTAAGGAAACTCTGTAGTTGTCCTTATACGGTCATATATGTTTGCCTCTCTTTATCTGTTTATATTGCTTAACTTAGGTAATTTCATTTACTCAACATATATATATATATATATTTTATCAAGTACTTACTATATATTTAGTATTGTCTTATGCCCGTAGAGCTTTGGAAACTATTAAGATTGGTAGTACATGGTCACTACCTACTAGAATCCTTCGCATGATTTCCCTTTTCTGCCCTAAAACATTCCCAGAACTGGATTTTTTATCATGAGGGCATTTTTGTGTTGATACGTGTTTATGACAGAGTTAAATTTCATGAAACCTAGATTTTGAATTTGTAACCACCAGTGTTTTCTTTTGTTGTTGTTGTTGTTGATGTTTGTTTTTAATCTGAATCCAGTGAATCTGGTGCATGTGTGTTCTGTAAATATTTGTTGTTCATGGTGTTTGGAGTTAATAAACACTTTGGAGTATAAGTTATAAATGTTTCTTTTCATAAACTTTTGTCACAAAATGAATACAATTTAAAATCTTTTGGAAATCAGTTTTAGCGGTTGCTCATGGGTTATAATTCTGTTTTTTGAAAATTGGAGTAAGAGCTACATTAAATATAGGCAAGAAGATAGACACAGAAATAAGGATATAATGTATGTTAAGGCAGTTCTTTGGGTACTGTAGTCTTTCCTGATATTGCCAGGTGTTTTTGATAACTGGTATGCCTATTATATTTTCAATCTCAAGTAGTCCAGTAGTGCTAATTTAGATGCCACATCTGAGTCAGTAAATGTAGAACAAGATTGAATTCTGAAAAATTCCAGTTATGTAAACCCACCAATCCAGACATCTCTTTCTTGAACATTATTTACCTTAATAGAGATTTAAAATAAAGGTATTCTTAGCAGGTAATTGTTGAGAAGAAATTCTGAGTATAGAGGAAGGTCATTGAGACAGGTCAGCTAGAGGTGGACACACAGCCTGCCTAATAATTGGACGGATGCTACCTGGCTGGAAGATGGAGCTGATTGGTGAATCAAAATCTCAAAGGGAAACCTTCCATTTTTTAGTTGAAATGTTTATTAAAATTATATTCCACAAAGTACTATTATATTGTATGCTTCCATTTAACTATTGAGAAATGACATCATCAATAATTATTATTACCCTACCAAAGATTGTTTTAAGTGATGTTTGATACGTGAAATATATTTGAGTGGTACTTAGTATACTTTTCTATTACTTTAAAATATGAACATTTTAATTATAATATATCCAAAGTTAGAACACAACAGAGCTTATAAATAAGTTGTTTCTGTTTTATAGGTTTATTTACTGAAGCTTATTTTTGTTATTTCTTTAGGTTTACGTGAGATTAAGACCATTCTTCAGGGAATTCCTGGAGCGAATGTCTCAGATGTATGAGGTAAACATGCTTAAGCTAATTACATAAGTATTTTTATTTTATTCAATATAGTACCCATATTTAGATCATGTATAATGATTACTTCTTTTCCCCTGAATTTGTAGATCATTCTTTTTACTGCTTCTAAGAAGGTGTATGCAGACAAGTTACTGAACATACTAGACCCTAAAAAGCAACTGGTCAGGTAAATTTAATTAAGAAATAGTGGAAATGTCTGTCACACTGATCTATGAAATTACTATGATTCTATTTAATTTCCATGGCCATTTTCAGTTGGCTGCATATATAGAGATTTGTTGTGTTGAATGGTGAAAATGAATTTTTTTAAGCCCCCAAACTCTTTAAGAGTTCCTAATATTAACTCCAGACAGACGTTCTTTAAAGGATACAAAGATCAAATGTGTTTATTCACTGTTACATCTGTATCCTCAATTCTTTTGGGACTGGGGGTGATTGGGGCTATGTGGAATTTTTCGCTGTGTGCATGATGTTTTCACTTCCTTATGTCTCTGAGATAATGCATGTTATATCACCTTTTTTAATGGCATAGAGAAATAAAGGTTTAATTTTAACAGAAAGGATAAATTAAACTCTTTTGCTTTTTTCAAGAGCAAATTTCTCTTCCATGGAAAGAAAACATTACATGAATCTAATTGGAAATTGCAGTTGGTTTAGTCACTCAAGTTACCCGATCTGGACTCAGTTCCTTGTGTGTGTCCTGAGCCAGCAGATGCAGTGTGTTCCTGGTTAGGTGGGAGTGCCTCGGGTAATTTTAAAACAGTTTGAAAATTAGTTCCGTTATTTCTGTCAACAGAAGTGAGATATTAAGACTGCCAGCGTCTTGCTGCATCCTATAAGATGCCAGAGTTAATCTATGTTTTTTTTAACCGAGAGAGATGCCAGAAAAAGCTCCTGAAAGCTTTAATAGCTAGGAATTCATTTTCTTGAATATTTTTTCCATATTTTTTTAGTAGAAAATCCTAATTTCTACTGTTAATAGTACCTTTGTTGTAGAGTGGTTGCAACTATGTTAAAAGACTTTCTGATGTTCATGTTTAGGGGATTTGCTTTCTTATAAATAGAACTGTGTTTTTTTTTTTCCTTTTAATCTAAAGGATCAAAATTTGTCCTTGTTGTTACTTTCCATTTTATCTTCCATATAAGCAAGCATTAGACACACAAATGAAAATGTTTTTTCAATTCATAAAAGTATAATACATGCTTATTTTACCTAACTTTCACAAAAGTACACAAATGATTTTGTTTTAATGGCTTCATTCACTCTAAAGATTTTTGTTATCTCTCAGAAGTTTCTATCATTTTACTAGGGGACGAATCATAGTCATGGAATTATAGTGTTACAAATTAACACCCCTCATTTAAACTAGTTTCATAAACCTACACATTGGGAGTTTAAATTTGTTTTATATAGTTATATTTGAATAATTTAAAATAGGAGAAACTTTGAACAGTATATTGAATTAGAGTGCTATGTTCAATATAAGGTAGACGACTCAAATTCCTGTGATCTCTGAATCTCATGAGTTGAAATGCAAATCTGATGACCTGCAAGAGTAGTTCCTTTCTAAAACTGCCAATACCTGCCATTGACTCTCAGGCTCCTGAATAACTGAAGGGATTTTAGTTAGTGTAATTTATTTACAGTAATCATTTGTATCCACATACATGTTCATTTGTCTCCTGTCTCGGGTGAGTTTGCTGCCGTTGGTGAAAAGAAACATCAGTAGTGACTTGCATGGACCTGTTGCACTTGCCTGTCTAGTTTCCTCAAATGTAAATGTACAGATAAAAATGGAATCTTTTATAGGTCCATCCAGGACTTAAATTCTTTTGTCTGGTTTTCAAAGTAGGATATTCTTTAAACCATACATGGATAGATGATCATTCAGTTAAAAGTATTCTTTATAAAAAGTGGGGGAGAGAATGGTTTCTACTACATTTCTTTTGGTTGGAAAACTCTTTGTCATCATTACTGATATTTTTAAGATTGAGTTTTGTAGTTGTTGTTAGAGCTATGGCTGATTTTGTTGGTAGAAAATGCCCTTTTCTTGAAATTCTATAATTAAAAATATAGGTATGTATAAGTAGGCCCTAGCTGCTAAAAAATTGTTTAGTGAGATTAAGACACAAGGAAGCCAAACTATCAAATTACTAATGTATGCAAATGGAGTATGTCAGGGTGATCTGTACTAACTCTTAGTAATATTCCTAGACTAACATTTTGAGTGCTAAATGAGATTATATAATTATGACAGTATATAAATCTTATAAGACCTTTAATAGCTTTTTTAAATGGTACAGCATTTTTCAGTTAAGTATCTATCATTGGTGAAACATCAGTTTACATTTGTAATACTTAAATCTGAATTCATCATTTCATTCAATCCTTGTTTTTTCAAATATTCATATATACACTCACACTAAATTAAAAGAAAGATGGTTGTTTGGGAGAAGTATGAAACGATGGAATGTTTTGGCCTCCACAGCTTTTCTCAAAAACTATAGGGGAAACTAAAAACATTTTTTAAAATGCCAACACAGAAACATTCCTTCTTATATTTTCTATTCTGGCATGTACAGGGATAGGGAGGCTGTGTGGTCTTCTGGTTAGAGCAAAGGACTGGGAGCCAGGAGGATCCTAGGTTCCAATGCGGGGCTAACCACTGACTTACTGTGTGACCTTGGGCAAGTCACTTGACCTCCTTGTGCCTCAGTCAACCATCTGGAAAATTGGTTAAAAAGCAGGACCTCGCTGACACAACCAGATGCTGCTTCTGAACTGAGCTTTCCTGGGTAAATAAATTACAAAACCAATTTACAGAGTTTTTAATCCCTCTTTATAATTTAATGTAACATTTTGGGATAAGCCAAAGTTCTTAAAGGCATGGTAATATTTGGTTGTAAGGTTTCAATAATTGATAACATTTTTTAAAGTAAAACTGTAGCCCAAAGCTTAGGCCCACATTTGTATTTGAATTTCCTTTGTGAGAGAAAATAAGGCTAAAACTGTAAAGCCTGTGGTATATGTGTATGTTTCAGTACGTGTTACACTTTTTAGAGATTTTTGTTAAGTTAATTTATTTCTATTTTTATGTTTAGGCATCGGCTTTTCCGTGAACATTGTGTTTGTGTACAAGGAAATTATATAAAGGACTTAAATATCCTTGGAAGAGATCTTTCAAAGACTATAATAATAGACAACTCACCACAAGCCTTTGCATATCAGGTATGAAGAGAGGGTTGCTAAACAAAATGAGATTAGGGGAAAAAAAAATACAATAAGAACAAATGGTGCCAAACAGAATATAATAGGAGAACAGAATTTTCACTGGTGAATTTTCCCTTTTTAGTGTTATCTTTTAGAACTAGAAATGCCAAATTGCTATAATTCTTGTGGATATTTTTCTTTTAAATGAATGAAAACGTAGATAAAAATCTGAGTAATAAATCTGGATAAGAAAATACTATAAGCTGTACATCAGTTAATAGCATTCTTGTCAGTTGTTAAATCAGTATGTCAGTACCAAGCATGACATGGGGCTCGAACTCACAGACCGTGAGATCATGACCTGAGCCTAAGTTGGAAGCTTAACTAACTGAGCCACCCAGGTGCCCCTTGTTTTTCATCTTTTTTAAAAAAATGTTTGGGGCGCCTGGGTGGCTCAGTCGGTTAATCGTCCGTCTTCAGCTCAGGTCATGATCTCACGGTCCATGGGTTAGAGCCCCGCATCAGGCTCTGTGGTAACAGCTCAGAGCCTGGAGCTTGCTTCAGATTCTGTGTCTCCTTCTCTCTCTGGCCCTCCCCTGCTCATGTTTTATCTCCCTCTGTCTCAAAAGTAAATAAAAACTATAAAAAAAATTTTTTTTAAATAAAAATGTTTATTAATTTTGAGAGAGTGTGTGTGCAGAAGCGAGGGAGAGGGAGAGAGAGACTCCCAAGCAGGCTCTGCACAGAGCTGTTAGCACAGAGCCCGATGAGGGGCTTAAACTCATAAACTGAAATCATGACCTGAGCCGAAATCAAGAGTTGGAAGCTCAGTCGACTAAGCCACCCAGGCTCCCCCACAAGATATGTATCACATTATGAATATGTTTGTGTAATAGGTCTGAGATTTCCTTTACAGTAAATCAGTGCAGAATAGGGATGGTGGGAATTGGGTATAGATAGAACAAGTAAAGAGTAAACACTAGAAAGATGAAAAAAGAAAAATGGAAAGCTGCATATAGTATTGAAATGTGTTCAATTTAGATCATTGGTCACATTTTGAAATATATTTTTAAGAATTTTATATTGTTTCCTGGATAAAATCATTTCATTTATCCACCATCTTAAATATAGTATTCTGCATTAATTTTAGAGATAACCTATAGATTATTTACTATAAAACAAATACAGTTTGCATTCTTGTTTTTAGACTCCTCTTCAGTGAAATACCATTGCATCAATTTATTACATTCCTGCCATTTCAGGTTATCCTGTTGTTTGTTGGAAATAAAACAGTGAACGTCACATAGTCCCTGTGTAAAAGTATATAGGATTTTTGATAGTGTTGTTTACATTGGCACCACCCCTTCTCACAGTGCCTAGCATAGACTAATAGTAATTATTTTTTGAATCAGTAAAGTAATATTTTTAATTACATAATTGTAAAGCTTGTTTCAGTGGATCTTCTTGTTTAGTTTCTTATACATTAAGAAGACATTAAGCTGAAAAACTTTGATGAAAGGCTTTGATGTATTCCTTAACATCTGTTTCTTGCACTAATTGAGTTGTCAGAATGTAACAACCACAAACTGATGGCATCCTTTTCACAGTAACTTCTGCAGATCACTGTGTACTTAAGTATGTGTTATTTCTGTTTTAAGTTTTTACAAATTATACAAAATGTAATAAAAAGAGGATTTAATTACCTATTTATTATTTTAGCTATCTAACGGAATCCCTATAGAAAGCTGGTTTATGGATAAAAATGACAATGAACTCCTAAAATTGATTCCATTTCTGGAGAAGCTTGTAGAACTGGTAAGTATCTTATTTATCTTGTGTTTTGCATTTGTTGCCTCAACTCTGTTGAAATAAATCTTTTTAATTGCTTTACTTTATGTGCAAGTCAGTGTGGTGTGAGATTAGGCCAGAGGTTGAGAAGGATTACAAGCATTTTCTAATGTTGTAAACTATATTAAAATCATGCTTATCAGTATTTAATAACTTGCAGATTGAATGTTTTTATTTCACTGGGTTGCTTCTTGCAAAGTCACTAGCGCTATTAAATTGATTTCACTTTCCCTTCATAGTTGAGGTCTAGAATTAATGCTTACGCTACTGAAACTTTATTCTGGGTTTATTTTTTCCTAATAAATGAAGTAGAATTCAGTGGCTTAACACTTTTACTTGTCTTTTGGTTTTGCCTCTTAGTGCCTAATTATTCTTTACAGAATTAAAGGTTTAATAACTTTTTTTAATATAAATTTAATTCTAAGTTAACTGCTTCTGTGTAGTATCTTTATATTTGGCATACAAAGTAAGTTGTAAAAGGTATATTTTCTCTGCAAAGGAAGAATGTTCACAGTGTTATGGGATCATATCTTTGAAATTACATGGCTTTTAAGATGTCTTTTTCGGGGCACCTGGGTGGCTCAGTCGGTTAAATGTCTGACTTCAGCTCAGGTCATGATCTTGCAGTTCATAAGTTCAAGCCCCACTTTGGGCTCTGTGCCGATCGCTCAGAGCCTGGAACCTGTTTCAGATTCTGTGCCTCCCTCTCTTTCTGCCCCTCTTCCACTCACGCTCTGTGTCTGTCTGTCTCTCAAAAAATAAAACAAAACATTAAAAAAACCTAAATTTAAAATGTCTTTTTCTCCACACAGAATGAAGATGTTCGACCTCACATCAGAGACAGATTTCGCTTGCATGATTTGCTGCCCCCAGATTAAGTACAAAGACTTGTCAAATCACTGAAGGGGGAGAGAATGCAGGACCCTTTTGGACTAAGACAAAAACATTGCCATTACTGTTGAAATTTTGCATTTTTGTACCCCGTCTTGCTTTTCTTATCTTTGGTGCCCAATAATAATCAAGGGTTATAGAAAGAGACTTTATCTCAGATTGAATACATACAGTAGGTAGGCTAAAACAGAAGAGTCTTTAGAACTAGTGCAACTCCGGTGAAATTTTTTTATGTACAGGACATCTGCAGTTTATAAAGAATTCTGTTTCTGCCACCAGCAGTTTGACCTGTAGTCACACAGGATTTTATGATAATAACAGAGATGAAAATGGACTTTTATTTTCTCTCTGTTTGGTGCTCTAAGTGGGTTTGTAGCCACTTTTCTGTTACTTTAAGATTCTCATTTCAACAGGAATGGCCAGTAAAAGTTGTTTTATTTTTCCTGTTAAGGTTTATAACCTTTTTACATTTTTGACCTGTATTAGATTAGATTTTCATTATGCATTCCTTTTAGTTGAGGCGCTTCCTAGTTTTCTGGAAATAGTCAGTTTATAGTTTTTTATTATACATTTGAATGGCCGTTTTCCTGCTTTGTCTGCCTGCATATTGTATATTTGTTTAAAAATATTCTCTACTTTTAGTCCATGTAAGTTTCATTTAGAAAGACATGCATTTATATTTTGTTTCTGTAATATTCTACTGTAGGTGAAATCTTTTTTAAAAAAAATCAAAGGACTGGGTAGATAAGAATATATGAATGACTAATATTCAGAAGAGTTAAACCATTGTGATGGCATGTGTTCCCCAAATGGTAATATCTTGCAATGGCACACAGATTTAACGGATAAAGGTATACCTCAGACTTCACTGTGCTCACCAATCTTAGAGGAGAATGAGTTTGGTCACCTGTTGGGCTTGATTTGGTTACTGCTGCCTTTGGTTTTCTCCAGGAATGAAGTATTCAGCACAGTGACTCAGTATTTTTAGTTATTTTGCATGGGCTGGTAGTACCTCTGTTATGCTCTTGGTTACAATCAATTTAAAACTCTGTGTAACAGTCTTGGTACCTTACAGTAGCTATGCATAATCCTGTGGCACAGTAAACTCCCAAGCCACCAATGCAGTTAATATGCTCTCATAGTGGTTTTCTATGCTATATGAAAATAGTCTTCAAGCCTTGGTTCTCTAATGCAGCTACCACAAGAGGTTGATATTTTTATAGTGGCGTGTAATCTCCTTTTCGGGAGGCTTTTTATGGAAGGTAGAATTTGTAAAAGTTAGTATGCTTTGCCTCTCGACTGCATTAACATGCCACAGGCTCAGACTGTTTTTGTGTAAAGGATGTCAAAGAACGGCACTTTTTCTAAAGAGAAGTTTGATATTTTGTATGCTTGTTAAGAAAGTACAGTATTGGAAATTAAAGGTGGACAACTGATAATTGAGGAGTATGTCACTTAATTTTTTATGTATATTACCTGTTTACTTGTACAACTTATTGTACAAATTACATGCAGCTTCATTTTCAAATGAATCCTTAAAATAAGGAAATCTTTTTAGGAAAACATTTAATTTTTGTATTTTTGATTTTAAAGGCATGAGTTATGTCAATTTTCAGTGTATTAATGAAGATTTTAACTTTTCATCAGGTTGAGTGTTTTCTTACTATATTATCTGTTGTGTATGTAGTTAGCATATTGTGTCACTGAACTGTTTAAAAAACCTAGCATGTAGAGCAAGCCTGTTTTGTGGAAAATCCTTATTCATTAAAAAAAAATAATCATGGCAGATTTTCTGCAAAAAAAAAAAAAAGCAAACGCATTTGCAATTCAGAATACTGGTTTTTTTTTTATTTGTTTGTTTTGGTTTGTTTTTGTTTTAATTTAAAGAAAGGTATTTTGCTTGCAGGAAAAATACTCCAGATTCATTTTAATGAGAATCTTTGAAATGTATTTATCTTTAGGGCATCTGGGCATCTTTATGCTGTTTGTCTTCTGTCTTTCTTGAAATAAAATGTACATACGTTACCTTTACATACGCTCTTGCTCAGAATTGTGAACCTAGTTACATTTCTCCTTGCTCCCCTTTTTATGCTCAGACAGTAAAACCCAAAACCTATACAAGATCTAAGCTTTCAGCATGCATTATAATTGTTGAAAGCTTTTCTGATTAAGTAAACACAGTCTCAAAGGGCTTTCCAACATGATTTAAAGGGAAATGTAAGCACCTGTACAATTTCGCCTCTGGGCACTTTAAATCAACACCAACTTTTAATCATCTTTTATTAATGGTAAAACTGTTTTCAGCCCCATGCTAGGGAGAGTTCTTTAAGTCAACTGACAAAGGAATCTAGCATAAAAGATTCTTTAGGATTAAGGGAAATTTTATATGGCCTGAGAAAAATTTTTGAGACCAATTTATTTTTCTTCATTGCTTAATTTGGGTCATTTTAAGTTCGTTAGTACAAAATTTAAAATAATTTATAAAGACACAGTTATCCAGCTTCCTTCCACTTTAACATGTTTTATCCTCTCATTCCCCCTAATTTTCTTTATCTGTTGGTAAATGTTATCTTAAACACACTTCCATTTAGTTAAGCGGAGGTGTATATTTTGTGAATTGAGATGTGCCCAGCTCCTTCAATTCACACAGGAAACATGAACTCTTAAAAACTGACTATAGGAAATGCAGGAGAGATTGCATACCTGATAAGACACAGCAAAAGTGACCTATATACACATAAACATATCTGAAGTACATATTATAATTGTGATATTTCCAGTGGTAAATGTCTGGCTTTTAAGACATTCTTTTAAATATTTGTATTATTGTTAGGATGTTTAAATCAGTTGTGTTTTTTAATTCTGTGTAATATATGTAGCCCTAATCAGATTTATGTCACCATGTTTCTCCTTGAGTCTTAAAAGAGCTGATAACAATTTGAAACCGTAATTGTTTTATATTAGCTAGTATGTATATTTATTTACCCGATGGCTTTATCTTGTTTCCCAAAATTGGGGTGGGGGGGAGTTGTTGAAAGCATTGTAACTTCTATAAATGGCTATTTTCTTGTACCTGTCAGTGAAAATGGATGTGTACATTGTTTTTTATATTTCTCTGGTTTTTCTGGTTTGTTTGGTTGTTGTTGTTGTTGGCTTTTATTTGTTTGTTTTTTTAAGTGTTAAACATAGAATGGTTTAAAAAAGTTATCTTTGGCCAATGACTTTTTCAGCTAGATATTACTCTTATTCAGCCTTCTAAAGAAGTTTTCATTGTTTTATTCAGTCAACTTGCCTGAAAAAGAGAGACTTCATCTCATCAATGAAGAAAGCATGTCATTATTCCTACAAATCTTTACAGCCAGCACAGAATTCTTCATAAGGATCAGATATCTTCCACATCTTGTGTCAATCACATAAAGCTGAAATGTAAAGGACACTGAAGCCTTCATTTAATTGTACTAACACAATGGTGTTATATACCACATCATTAGCTAGTTAAGGTTTTCTGAACTGACTTCTCTTTGTCTTTCTAGGTATTTATTTGTTATCTCTTTTAATCTTGTATATCTAAATTAACTTAGTTAATAGTTACCCACTGAATAACTATGCCAAGCAACTAGGAAAGAATGTTTATTTTATTTCCCCTTATAGGGGAAGAGCAGACTGGGAACAAAAATGTATGGGCCAAAAGGCCTTAGGTTGTCATTCATTCACTTTCTTATTCCTCTCATGAGCTATATTTGAGTATAGTATTTTTTCAGTGCTGATATGCTTGAGTATGTATGTCATTACTTCTCATATCTTCCCAAGTTGAAAGCCTGCTAGGAACCTGTATAAAACACATTTTAAAATTTCAGAATAAGAACCACAAAACTCAGTATCTGTATTCAAATGCCATTTAAATTATTGGAATCCAAGTCTCACTAGGATACATTTTTATAAAATGTTTCTCTGTATCTTGAATTGAAATTACTTGCTCAGAGGTAAGAGTTCTGGGGATATAATGTGTTCTGAGAAATTTTTAGAAAGGGGAGAAGAGACAGCAGCAAGTTTATACTTAGTTACTTTATGGTTTTGATATGAGTATTTTAAAATACATCACTGTTTTCCCAAACCTGGCCATTAGAATCCTCCTGAAGAGCTTAAGTACAGATTCCAAAAGCCTAGCCCCCTGCAAAACTGTCTCAACGGATCTAGGGTGGGGTTTGAGTTTTGTGTTTTTTCAAAAAGACCTCTAGGTGATTCTAATAGCCAGCTTTGGGAAATCACTGTTTTAAATAATGTGATGGTGGTTGAGAGTAGGCAACTAAATAAAAGTTTACCAGACATCTCTGGTAGGTTTTTTTTGTTTTTTTTTTAACTGGGACCAGATTTCACAGAACTTACTCAAGATACATGGAGGAATAATAAAGAAGATTGAGGCTACTGCTCATTATCATTCTTATTTCCTGCTTTTTAAGAGTTTGCATTTCTAGCACTTGGAATAGTTGATCATATATACAGCTGAAGGACATCCCTGAATGAGACCATTATATATATTAATTGTAAAATATTTCACTATTTTTTTATTTTATAAATCTTTGTAGAAATAAGCAATGAAATACTACTTTCATCTTTTGAAATGGGATTTTTCAAGGCAGTGTCCTTTTGGCATTAAGGTAGGGGGGAGTTAATATTCTCTCTGCCTTTTTCCATATGAATCAATATAAAAGTCATGGATATTTAAAAATCTCAGTTTAATTTCTACATATTTACTATGCAGTATAGCCGTGAACAAGTAATGTAGACTTAGTTTTCTCATCTTCAAATGCCCTGATCACCCTACCTCACAGGGTTGTTGTGGGGATAAATAAAACTTTTATGGAAGCACTTTTCTTTGACAATATTTTATCAGCCATTAGAAACTGTATCCAACAGCTTATATTTGTATAGTGCTTTTTTGCTTGTTTGTTAAAATTACGTGATTTTTTTCACAGTACTTAACCCTTTGATATCTTCAGAACATACCTGTAAGGAACACAGAGTAGATTGCAACAGACAGGAAGAATGACAATTTCTGGAACTATTTTGTGCAGAAGTAGAATAAAACGTGAATAAAGGGGCTAATTTTGAAAAGAGATGATGGCAAAAAAACAGATTATGGTGAGCCTAAGATGATGAATTTATACTTGATGTATAACAGGTAAAATAACATGAACCAACATAACTACAAAATAGCACTCTGGTTCTGCCCCAGTCTCTGTGGTGAACCTTTTTCTCCCATCTTTATTGAGTAAAACTGACATCGTGTAAGTTTAATGTGTAGAGTATGAGGACTGGATACACATATTGTGAGATGTTCATCACAGTAACATTAGTTAACACACCTTTCACCTAATTACCATTTTTGTTAGGGTGAGGTGAGAACATTTAAAATCTACTCTGATAGCAACTTTCAGGTATACATTTACAGTACTGTTAACTGTAGTCACTGTGCTGTACACTAGGTCCCCAGAACATTAGATGCTTATACAACTGGATGTCTACCCTTTGACCAGTATCTGTTCATTCCCTGTATTCCAGGCTGTGATGAGATTTTTGATAACTATTTTCCCTAAGCTCCAAAGGAGTTTGATGCACATACAGGTTTGAGAGTCACTGAAGTGCAGGGCCTTTAGAAATAAATGACTTGGGACACCTGTCTGGCTCAGTCAGAAGAGCATGCAACTCTTGATCTTAGGGTTCTGAGTCTAGCCCACGTTGGGGCTAGAGATTCCTTTAAAGTCTGTTTGTTTTTTTAATGTTTTATTTATTTCTGAGAGAGAGAGAGACTGTGAGCAGGGGAGGGTCAGAGAGAGAGGGAGACAGATTCCAAAACAGGCTCCAGGCTCTGAGCTAGCTGTCAGCACAGAGCCCGACGTGGGGCTTGAACCCACGAACCGTGGGATCATAACCTGAGCCGAAGTCGGACGCTTAACTGACTGAGCCACCCAGGTGCCCGAAGATGCCTTTAAAATCTTAAGGGGAAAAAATGGACTTCAGGTGAATGGTTGACTTGGGAGTTTGGCTAATAAAAGGAGCTTTCAGAATCAAAAGATCTGAACTCAAGTCCATAGGTACTCATTAAATCTTACTAACCAAATTAGGTATGTAAGGCCTAATTTCATTTGTGCAAAGGGTGCAGCAAGATATACCTTTCAGACTTAACAGTGGTGAAAGACCTGATAAACTGTAAAGCAATATACAAATAACTACCGGAATGGAAGTGTTAAAGCAGCTAGTTCTGTTGCGGATATGCAAGAGATACACATGCAGTGTTTGGAGAGATGTCCGAAGCTGAAAAGGGCAGCAGAAAAGGCATTGTAATACTACATGTTAGTTTTTTAAGAAAAGACTGGAGAAGTAATAATGGAAAGGTCACCTCTTAAGAATGTGTTTGATGAAAATATGCTGAGTGTTAAGGGAAAAAAATGGGTGACAAAGACAGTACTGAATGGCTTGAAAAATCTGGTAAGTATTTGGGGTAGCAGGCTTCTATAAATGATTTGCCAAGCTAATAGCTTTTTAGTAATGGATAACCAAATGAATTAGAGCTTTTTGGGGGTTACCATACAATGAGCTTTAATGTTATATTTGATGTGTACAATATTTGTTGAAAGCTATAAGTAGCCTTCATAATGACAGTAACAGTCATTATTCCAGGCTCTGTGAATGGCAGAAGAAAACAACCCTCACCTTGCCCTCAAGCTTAGAGTCTAGCAGGGAAGACTGACAATGTTGGGAAGAGTCGAAGGAGAAGAATGGCTTTTAGAATGCCAGTTACACAATCTAATCTGGAACCAGGCATGGGTTGGCTGAAAAAGCATTAGGTTGAGCTCTGTAGAACATGTATTGAAAGAATGTAGAGCCAGGCTTGATTGCAGGTGGAAGGGACATAACATCAAGCAAGGGCGTATATGATCAGGTTTATCTTGAAAAGATCACTTTACCATATAGGGAAGAGAGGGGTTTGGTGGGAGACCAGTTAAAAGAGTCAGGAAGTTGACCTGATTCAGGGCACCTGGGTGGCTCACTTAAGCCTCCAACTCTTGATTTTGGCTCAGATCATGATCTTGCAGTTTGTGGGTATGAGCCCTGAGTCAGGCCCTGCATTGATAGTGTGGAGCCTGCTTGGGTTTCTCTCTCTGCCCCACCACTGCTCTTGCTCACTCACTCTCAATATAAGTACGTAAATATGTAAACTTTTTTAAAAAAGTTAAATAAGTTGACTTAATTCTCCACACAACTTACCTCTTTCTAAGACAACAAATGGTTAATGCATTGGGTGCCAACCTAATGGACAGTCTGAGGCCAGGAGATGGTAAAGTCCTAGGGAGAGTATGGATTGTCCATTTTACTGACAGGGATAGGAAGACACTAGGATTTTATGGCACCATATAAAAGTAAGAGAAAATGTATAGGAGTTGAATGGAGACAGATGCTGTCATTTCATGTCTTACAAAATTCTTGGGTAGGCTTTTTTGGAAGGGGTGGGGGGTTAAATGAAAAAAGTTATTTCTATATCAAATATAAATAAAATATTTTTACATATGTAATAACCCTGTGATTGTACTTTGTAAATGTCTTAACAGTCCTATTTGCAATTAAAACCTTTTCAGCCTTACTTCACTTAATCTCTGAGGTTTCGAGTCTAGTGCTTAAGGGACATCACTTAAAAAGAAGCTGTTGGCAGCTCTACTTCATTTCTGTTGTCATTTACTATCCTCTGGTCTTAATGATGAAGTTCTTGTAGGCAGAGTTTTAATATTAAGTTTTCCCATGAACATTGATAGATTATTCTGGTCATCTGTAAAATAAGAATACTGTTGGGATGCTTTGGTGGCTCAGTCAGTTGAGCATCCAACTTTGGCTCAGGTCATGATCTCACAGTTCATGGGTTCGAGCCCCGTGTCGGGCTCTGTCCTGACAGCCAGCTCAGAGCCTGGAGCCTGTTTCGGAATCTGTGTCTTCCTCTCTCTCTGACCCTCCCCTGCTCATGCGGTCTCTCTCTCAGAAATAAATAAAACATTAAAAAAATAAGGATACTGTTATGTGGGATTATAGGGCTCCTGTAGAGGACTAACATGTGAGTCACAGATTCATTTTAAGGACTGAATAAATTCTCCAGTACATAATTCCATTTTTTTTATGTTTACTTAGAGAGTGTGCGTGCACGTGGAGAAAGAGCAAAGGGAGACAGAAAATGCAGCAGGCTCTGCGCTGACAGCAGCGAGCCCAATGCGGGGCTCGAACTTGTGAACCGCTAGATCATGACCTGAGCCTAAGTAACACTTAACCAACTGAGCCACCCAGCGGCCCCAGCACATAATTCTTGGAGATTGTTTCCCTGCTTCATTTTTTCAAAAAGGAAGCATGCACAATATTGTGAATTCTCAATTTCTGCTTCACAAATTTATCAATACCGCATACATATAAGCCCATGTATTTTTCCATAGCATCTCCACAACTCATTTTCAACTGCATGTGGTTTAAACCCTTGAAGTTAGGGACGTGTGGGTGGCTTAATCCTTTGAACGACCGACTTTGGCTCAGTTCGTGATCTCACAGTTTGTGTGTTTAAGCCCCACATCAGGCTCTGGGCTGACAGCTCAGAGCCTGGAGCCTGCTTCAGATTCTGTGTCTCCCTCTCTCTCTACCTTTCCCACTCCCCTGCTCATGCTCTGTCTCCCTCAAAAATAAATAAACATTAAAATAAAATCTTGAAGTTAATATCCCCAGAACCTAGAACAATACTGGGTACAGGGTAGGTACTCCATAATTATTTGCTGAATAAATGAATGAATTCACACTTCAAAGTATGAACTTCTACTTAAAAGTCCAGAAAGTTGATTCATTCAATACAACCCAGAGTCGATACGATTCAGGGGAATTGGTTCATACCAATTAAACTCATGAGACACTGGTTTTTAAGCCAGATTTCAAATTCCTTCATTTACTGGCAGCAAGTTTTCTCCCTATGAAACTAAATTACAATTAGATGCCTGCTTGGTAAGGGTGAAACAAGAGCGAAAATCTATTTAAAAAAATGAATCATAATGGCTAATATCAATTCAACAGGATACCCCTCATCTCTACTAGATACCTGCCAAATATCTAATAGATGTTTACCTTTTCTCTAGAGACTCAAAATCTTGTTCTTTGGTTTTACCTTCCTTATATTTCACCTTCTATTAACATTGTTTTGGTCTTCAAGATACATTGTCTAACATCTCCAGGCAAGTTAATACAGATGACTACACTAAATGACAAATGACTAATTACCACCATTATTACAGAGATACATAGTCTTGCTTTACTGAGACTCCACCTTGGGGTAGTTGATTGGATCTGGCACCTTCTTAACCACTTATTTACTAGTTCAGGTTACAGCTATAATGGTGTAGATTTACTAGTAATATAATAAAAGAGAATGTGTCTTTAGGACCCAAATCAATTTTTTTCAGACCACCTTTCATGAGGAAGAACAATAACCTGATGGGCAGGTTTTTCTTGGTAAAGAAAACCCAGTTCTGCATAGAAATTTATTCATGCATTCAACAGTTACTAAGCACCTACTATGTGCCAAACACAGACTTAAATATAGCAGAGCTTAGCCTCTAAAGATTTCTTATCTGTAATTAGTCTACTAGGATGTACCTGTTAAAAATTTTTTTGAGGCCAAGAATGAAATGTACTGGAAAGATGCCGGGGTACCTCATAACTTTTAAAGAAGAGCTGGACAACTGGACCTCAAGGGTAGGCAGGAGGAAGTGAGGTGGCTTGGAAAATCATCACTTCATCAAGAGTTGTGGTCTTTCCTTCAGGATGCTAAATTCTAAAGTCCTGGGAAAGAGACTCTTTCTGTTATCACTGCATAATAATTAACTTCAAAAATAGAGGCTTGGGGTGCCTGGGTGGCTCTGTTAGTTAAGTGTCTGACTCTTGATTTTGGCTCAGGTCATGAACTTACTGGTTCATACGCTCAGGCCCCACATCGGGCTCTGCACAGACAGTGTGGAGGCTGCTTGGGATTCGCTCTCTCTCTCTCTCTCTCTGCCCTTCCTCTGCTCATTCGCCCTCTCTCTTGCTCTCAAAATAAATAAACTTAAAATTGTTAAGAGACTTAAGATAACTTCTCACTCATCTGTGGGTTGACGGGGCTCAGTTGCGCAACTCTTGCTTTCAGATTTTTGCAGTTGCATTCAAATGTTAGTTTGGGATGGAATCATATGAAGGCTCATCTAGGCTGGATGTCCAAGATGGGTTCTTCACTCCCATGTCTGGCATCTTTGCTGGCATATCTGGAACAGCCAGGGGCTGGCTACCTCTCTCCCTAAACAGCCTCTGTCTATGGTTAGTCAGAAACAGCTTGGTGGTCTTAGAGTGGTAAGGCTTTTTAAATGGCTGCTGGCTTCCACCAGAGAGAACATTCCAAAAGGTGCAGGTGAAAGCCACAAGGTTTGTTATGGCCTAAAGCATTCCATGTGAATTCTGCCCTACTCTACTAGTCAAAAATGCATCATAGGGCTAGCCTAGACTCAACAGGAAGAGACTGCATAAGGGCTTGAATACTATTTATTGAAGGGCCATCTGTGGAGACTAGCTACAAAGAGAATTGATAGTTCCACTGGGTTATTTACATCCCACCTAGGAACAGTTACAGATTTTATGTAGTTTGAAGAATATAACAATTTGGAGAGCTTTTTTGAAGAGTGTAAGGGATCCATGCAATGAGGAGCCCTGAAGGTAAAGCTTCATTAAACTTCACAGTTAATTTGCTTTTGACTGCCCTTCCCAAATCAGCTACAGTAAGGGAGCAAACACAGCTTTTGGGAGTCCACATGTTCTTGTGTACTAAAACAATTTCTAGAAAAGGAGGAATCACTGTGAGCTTTCCCCAACCCTCTCCAGAAGTATACAGTGTACAGTTCAATATAATCTGATCATTTGAATGACTATAACCAGGTCCCCTGACTTCCAAAAGTGTATTTTCAAATATATTCCACCGCACTTTGTTTCATAAATAAAACAAAAAACTGGTAGAACAGGAAGGATACTTATTTAACTTACTATGCTTCCTATGCCTTTTTTCTTTCGCTGCTCCTTAAATATTTATGTCTTTCAAAGATTTTTCTCATTCTATCTAACCTAGTTTCACATGATTCCATCTACCACCATAATCAGATGACTTCTAGTCCTCTGTCTATAGCCCAGACCTCTCTTGTTCCAAACATGTACTAGACATTTATATATGGATGTCCCACAAGAATGTTAAGATCTGTGTGGTCAAAAGTTAATTTATTCTTATTTAAAAAAATTTTTAAAAATTTATCTTTGAGACAGAGAAAGAGAATGAGCAGGGGATGGGCACAGAGAGGGGGAGACACAGAATCTGAAGCAGGCTACAGACTCTGAGCTGTCAGCAGAGCCCCGACCCGGGGCTCAAACTCACAAGCTGCAAGATCGTGACCTGAGTGGAAGGCAGATGCCCAACTGATGGAGCCACCCAGCTACCTCCTATCCTTATTCTTTATTATGATGAGAGGCACCAGTTATTTTCAAACCCATTTATTGACCACTTACTATATGCCATGCACTAGTAGTAGTAAAAAACACAGACAAGGTCCCTGTGCTCCAGGGACCTTAAATATATGTGCTCACAGACATTAAATATATAAACAGTGTCATTAGAGATTGTGATATATGCTATGACAAAAACAGAGCAATGAGACAGAGTAACTGGGGGAGGCTTCTTGTAGGTGGGAGATTAGGAGCTCTTTGAAAAGGTAACATTTGAACCCTGATTTGAAAGAAGAAAACCAACCATGGACAGAAGTGTGGAAAGAACACTGTAGGCAGAAAGAATAGCAAGTACAAAGTCCAAAACTAGGAAAAAGGCTTAATAGTCTTACAGGGCTAGTAGCAATGGAGCTAATAAGAGACAATGATATAAGGGGTTGATAGGAGGTAGGAGTCAGACTTTGTTGGGCCTTGTATGCCATAGTAAGGAATTGGAATTAACTCTAAAAAAGCAAGAAGCCAGGGGTGCCTAGGTGGCTCAGTTGATTAAGCGTCTGACTTCAGCTCAGGTTATGATCTCACAGTTTGTGGGTTTGAGCCCTGCATCTGGCTCTCTGCTGTCAGTGCACAGCCAGCTTGGATCCTTTTTCCCTCTCTCTACCCCTTTCCGCAACCCACCCACCCACTGTTCACTCTCTCTCTCAAAGATAAACATTTAAGGGGAACCTGGGTGGCTCAGTCGGTTAAGCATCCGACTTTGCCTCAGGTCATGATTTCACGGTTCGTGGGTTCAAGCCCCGCGTCAGGCTCTGTGCTGACCGCTTGCTCAGAGCCTGGAGCCTGTTTCAGATTCTGTGCTTCCCTCTCTCTCTCACCCTCCCCTGCTCACGCTATTTCTCTCTCTCAGAAATAAATAAAACATTAAAAAAATAAAAAAGAATCTTTAATAATAAATAAATAAACAAACATTTAAGGGGCATCTGGGTGGCTCAGTCAGTTAAGCATCCAACTTTGGCTCAGGTCATGATCTTACAGTCTATGAGTTCAAGCCCCACATCTGGCTCTGTGCTGACAGCTCAGAGCCTGGAGGCTGCTTCGGATTCTGTGTCTCCATATCTCTGTCCCTCCCCTTCTCATGCTCTGTCCCTCTCAAAAATAAAAATTAAAAAAAATTTTTTTAAATAAACATTTAAAAGAACCAAACAGGGGCGCCTGGGTAGCTCAGTCGGTTAAGCGTCCGACTTCAACTCAGGTCATGATCTCATGGTTTGTGCGTTCAAGGCCCCCGTTGGGCTCTGTGCTGACAGCTAGCTCGCAGCCTGGAGACTGTTTCAGATTCTGTGTCTTCCTCTCTTTTTTTGCCCCTCCCCTGCTCATGCTGTCTGTCTCTCTTAGAAAAAAAAATTAAAAAATTAAAAAAAAGAACAAAACACTAAAAATGAAAACAAGAAGCCACTAAAGAGTTTTCAACTGGGAGAAAGGGGTGTCACAATCTGATTTACATTTGTAAATAAGCAAACTGGTGTGTAGTGAATGGATTGTGGAGGGAAAAGTGGGATAAGGAAAACCAACTGGGAACTTATTACAGAAGAGTCTAGAGAAAGCTTGGACGAAGGTGGTTGCAAGAGATATGGGGATAATTAAATGGATTCAAGATTAATAGTGGAAGTTAATCACAGAACTTACTGACTCAATGTAGGAGGTGAGAGGAAGAAAGCACAGATAGTTCTGTTTTTTTTACTTCAGCACCTGGAGGTTGGTGTCACCACCACTCATTCAATTTCTGAAAGCATTATCCTCTACTGCTCTCTGCCACTTCCCCTCCATATCCAATCTTTAGCCACTGTATTAGTTGGGATTATCCAGAGAAACAGAACCAACAGCATGTGTATCTACATAAAGAGATTTATTTAAGGGATTGGCTCACAGGATTGTAGGAGCTGGCAATTCTGAAATCTGCAGAGCAGGCCAGCAGCCTGGAAACCCAGGCAAATGCTGCTGCTTCAGAGTTCAAGGGCAGTTTGGAGGCAGAATTCCTTTTTCCTCAGTGTTGTGTGTGCGTGCGTGTGTGTGTGTGTGTGTGTGCGTGCACGCGTGCGGGTGTTTAAGGCCAATCAACTAATTGGATAACGACTGGAGAATACTTATCCGTATTGTGGGGGGTTAATCTGTTTTACTCAAAGCTTACTGATTTAAATGTTAATCGCATACAACAAGTACATTCATAGAAACAACTAGTGTTTAACCAAAAACTGGTTACCATGGCCTACTTGAGTTGACACATAAAATTAACTCTCACAGTCAATAAACTGTTTCGACCCTTAAATATTTGTCAGATTGATTCTTTTCCTCTGTTACCATTGCATTGTGTTCTCATTTAATTAATTCATAAAATATTTACGGTGTAAGATACCGCACCAAGTGGCAGAGATACAACTGTGAATAAAAGACTGATTGCACCCTAGGGACCTTGCATTCCAGTCTTTTCCTGCCTTCTGCTAGCCTCCCTCTAATTTAGCTTTATAAATGGATGACTGTGTATCATTGCCTTTCATACTTTAACACACAGAGTCATCTGAGGATCTTGTTAAAAGGCAGATTCTGATTCAGCAGGTCTGGGATAGGGCCTGAGATTCTGTATTTCTAACAAGCTCCCCAGATACTGCTGTAGATGAGGAATAAACTATGAATAACTGAGCTGTCTCTTGAAAGACTGTATTTATAAAATACATATTTGTAGGGACGCCTGGCTGGCTCAGTTGTAAGAGCACGCAGCTCTTGGTCTCCAGGTAGTCAGTTCTAGCCCCACATGGGGTGTAGAGATTACATAAGTAAATAAATAAACTTAAAAAATAAAATGTGTATTTAAAAAAATTTTTAATGTTTTTTATTTATTTCTGAGAGAGGGAATGAACAGTGGAGGGTCAGAGAGAGAGGGAGGCACAGAATCTGAAACAGGCTCCAGGCTCCGAGCTGTCAGCACAGAGCCCGACGCGGGGCTTGAACCCACGAACCGTGAGATCATGACCTGAGCCGAAGTCAGACGCTTGCTTAACCGACTGAGCCACGCAGGCGCTCCTAAAATGTGTATTTTTAGACACCTTGAAAAGATACACGAGAGAACAACGGTTGCTTCTAGAAATAACAGAATGGCTAATCATTGTACATACCCTTTTATAACTTGAATCTTATACTAAGTACGTGATTACATATTCGAAAATAAATTAACAACAAATACAAAGTAAAAATATCTGAAACTGTTCCTCTCTTAGTACTCTGCAGTGGAGCCCAGTGGCCCAAAGGCCCCAGAGTGAGTTTAGCCATTCTTAAAGTTTAGTCCTTTATTATGATCCGTTTACCTAGTCTGCTTATCTCTGATTTTGCCAGTCAGGTCAGGGACCACAAGCATTCTTTCCACCGGGAATGCACTTGAGCAATTTCACCGGGTCTTTCAAACTCCAGATTCCGCAGCACTTACCCCAGGAAGCCTTTTGTGCATCCTCCCGCTCCCCCCGCCGTTAAAGTTACCTTTTTACATTTAACCTCATAATGCTTTTTGTTGCAGTCATCACACTGTGTCGAAATTCTATTTACATGTCTATCTAGGCTACTTGATTGTGCGCTCCTTGAGGACAAGGCTAGAGATTAGGCCTAGCGCAGACCAAGTTCCTAAACTATTCTGCGAAAGAATCAGGTACTGGCCTCAAGGGGCTCACAGGAAGGGAAAATCCTCGAGTTCTGGGGCTCTCTTCGATCCCTTCATGACCAACTCGAGGCAAACACTCCAGGAGCTGAATTCGAGTACCCTGGCTGAGAAGGCTGCCAAGAAAGCGGCCCTGTCCACTCGCTCCTTCCCGGGCGCCCGGCCCACGCCGGCGTCCAGAGAGATCTCCCCTATCCCGGTGCGCGACGCCTCCTCTGGCGGTGGGGGGCCGCGGGTTCACAGCCCCCTTCTGAGCGCGGCTTGGAAAGCTCGGGAAGGGGGGCTGGCGGGGGGAGAGTCCTTGGTATCCGCCAACAGCTCCGGGCGGCGACAGCAGTGAAGAGAGAGAGGGAGGGAACACCAGACCGGTCGGGGCGGGGCTGGAGTTGGCAGGGAAGGAGTGGCAAGGACAGGCGAGGGCCAAGCGCCAGGAAAGGCTCCCTTCTAACTTCCTCGCACGTACGTTCCCTCGCCGGGACCCACGCTGGGGCAGCCGTCTCCTGTCCACTTCCTCTCTCCCACTACCTTCAGGACCACCAGCTCTACGCTGTGGGGTAAGAGACTAGCACCACCCTCCCGCCGACTCCCGCGCAGTCGGCCGCATTCCACGCCCCCTTCTCGCCCGCGCGCGCGTCGCAGCTGCAGCCGCCGCCAGAGGGGGCGGGGCCTGGGCCCCGGCGCACAGTCAGCCACGGTCCCAGCCTGCCCCGCGCCGGCCAACGAGAGCAAAGTCAGTGACTCACCTCCGCCGCGCTAACTCCTCGCTCGCTCTCCGCTCACACACGCTTACGCCCGGTTAGAGATGGCGGCGGCCGCGGCTGGGGACTCTGACTCCTGGGGTGAGAAGTTACGAGGGGCAGGGCCCGGGCCGGCTCTGGCCCCAAGCTGAATCAGGCACTAACGCGACTCGCTCTCTTCCGTAGACGCTGACACGTTCTCCGTGGAAGACCCGGTGCGGAAGGTGGGGGGCGGCGGTACTGCCGGTGGAGACCGCTGGGAAGGCGAGGACGAGGACGAGGACGTCAAGGTGGGTGCGGGCCGGGGTTGCGGGCCGCGCGGGAGCGAACTGGCGCTGTCTTGGGCGGGGATGCCCGCCGACGAGCGGAAGGGTGGACTCTGGGCCCAGGGGCGCCGCCCGGGCCTGCGGGCTGTGGGTCCAGGGGCGAGTGTAGGGCCCCCTGGTGCCCCCCTCCTCTACGCTTGCCGGCCATTTGGGCCGGAATCGAGCAGCGTGGCCTTTTCGACTTCCTTGGCTAGGACTGTGGCCTCCCCACTCCCAGCCCATCTTTAAGGGTCTGCGTCCCGGCCTGGATCCCACCCGCCAACTGGCGACGGGAGGTGACAGCAGTGTCAGGGCCGGGCCCACGTGCAAACTTCGTGGTCTGGAGCCGCTCGCCAGAATGATCTGGGAAGTTGGGGCTTAAGCCCTATGGTTTATCCCATATGGAGTCTTATAACCACCTGCGTTTTGGAGCTCAGGTCTCCCTAGGGACAGTAACTCATTTATGTTTCTGAAGGCCTCTTTGTAGAGTTTGTTGGAGGAGTTAGATGAATGAAATATTGTGGTTTAATCTCAGCCTTTTTTCCTCCCACAAGACAAATAGAAACAGTAAAGTTTATGAAATAACTTTAGACCCCCCCTCCCCCATCTCCCTGTTGTAAAAAGAAAGATTAACCGAGTACTGAAATAGGCACAGCAGTTAGCTGTCAGAAACCTAGGTCAGAATCGACCTGGAAAACGGAGAGTTGACAGAATGTGTTATTTATCCGCATACGAACAACGCCTAAGGAAATATTGGTTAGAATAGAAGAGGGGGGGGGCAGTGTTTTTTCCCCCCTATGCCTTGTTGATCTGAACCAGATTACCGTTGTCGTTTGTTGTTGAAAACTCCTGGGGACTCATCATATGGGTCCAGATGACGTTATGACTAGTAGTGCATTCATTTCTTTGTTGTTTTTGTTTCAAGTAGTTAACAAACATCTCAAGCCCAGAATATTAAGATTTTTTTTAACAGAACTCTAAAAATCTTTTTATATTTGTGCAAAGTTTTGTATGACTTGAGAAAACTGTTTCTCTTGGTTTTGATTCACTTAGTGAGTATTTTACTTTCCTAACTTTATACCCTTATACCCAACATATATTGGTAGTCCTATTAAGTCCTTCTGCTTGGGTTCAAAAATTTTAAGCTAGGTAATCACAGTGAACTTAATACTACTTATGTTTGGATTTTACCTTTTTCTCCTGAGTCTGATGATGTGGCTGTCCAATTTATTGAACAGTTTGAGGTCCAGAAATAATGTGAGCTTTGCACACATTGGGGTCCAATAAATGAGTAGTACTGTTGTGAATATACTTAGATGCTTCATTTACTTGTATAGACATGGGAATGGATTGTGTATCATTCCCATTGCAAGATATTAGTTACCTTTTTACATTGTAACAGATTTTCTGTTTTGAGTCTTTAGTTCACATTTGCCCTTTCACTTTTTCTGTGCTTACTGGATGCAGCAGTTAGGACATCTGTTCTGGAAATTGGGAATAATTCTGCAAATGAGAAGATAGAGAAATCAGGAAAGAAGTACCAGAAAATGAAGTTTGAATGGAGTAGTCTGGACTAATGCTGTGAAGTAACCTGCTTGTGATTATTGGATCTAAATGGTGTCAATCCTGATGAATATAATTCTTACCGCTTGGGACTGATTTTGGAGATTTACAGGTTGTAAGGGACCATAAAGGTCATCTTGTCCAGTCACTCTTTTAGTGCAGAATTTCTTTCTTTTATGCAAATATCTTATTTCTTTTACATAAACATTGGAGTTTATCTTGGAGAAAAAAGCTGAACTTGTCCATTTTATTTCTCAGTTGAAATGTTGGTTTATTTCTGTTGGATTTCCTCAAGATTCCCAAGTAATAGTATTCATATATTTGTGGTCATAAACAAGTTTTTTAATCTTTCCTTTTAGTTTCCCAATCTAAATTGTCCTTACAGGAGATAACTTTAGGGGGTTGTTTTGCATTTTAAATGATTTAATATATCTAGCATTAAGCAGAGTTGTCTACCACTTGGGGAAGCACTCAATAAACATTAATACTCTTACATCAAGAAGTTGTCTTAATTTTTCTGGCTTGTGGAAAATACCCTGTTTAGATTTACCATCTGGGTTTATTTTGTGCCACATTGTGATTTCCTGAACTCCAGAGTACTCTCCACAGTGGCTCTTTACTGTGAATTTTGTGTTTTGAATGGAATGATTAACAAGCAAGTTTTTGCTTCCTTAGTTTACCAATCTAGAGTTGAATTTTGTCACTTTGGATGGTAGTGAGTAGTACCAAATTTCTGAATTCTGATGTTTTAGTACATAATCCGTTTATAAGGATATGAAGACAAGGCTTAGTTTTCACAAGATCCAATAATCATAGCCTTAAGTAGTACACTATATGATTTCTTTTAAGCCTTCAAAGGTAAGATATGTAGAAACAGAATAAGTTCTTTGCTTTATGTTGTCATCCAGTGTTTAACCTTTAAGAATATAGATTTATTATTATTTTTTTGTTTATTGTCAAGTTGGTTTCCGTATAACACCCAGTGCTCATTCCAACAAGTGTCCTCCTCCATGCGCATCACTTATTTTCCTAAAAATAAAGAGTTAATGTCATTTGTAATATCCTGAGAAATGAAAGGAAAACTGATGTCTTTGTTACGGCAGTTTGCTTCGGTAGTTTACTGTTTTTCAGTAGACATTATAACATTTTGCTGTCCTTGACTTTGTTGTCTGACAGTGACAGAAATGGATTTAGGAGAAACTCTGGAATTATTAATCATGAGGAGAGAAGCCTATGCTTCTTCTCAGTTAAAAAGATGACAACTAGGGGTGCCTGGTTGGCTCAGACAGTAGAGCATGAGACTCTTGATCTCCGGGTTGTAAATTTGAGCCAACTGTTGGGTATAGAGATTACTTAAATAAAATCTTTAAAAAGAAAGAAAAGATGAGAACTAGGAAGCATACTCTTGTGTCATGCTGGCTTTATTTTACCTTTCTTATCCTGATGTTATGCCAAGGTAGTGGGAGGAAGTGTTCCTTTGGCGTCTATCACTGGGCTCCTTCCCCATTGCTGGAATGATGTGTAGGTTGTGTTAAGGCAGTGAGTGCCTATCCCCTACAAACAGAGACAGTACAGCTTTTACTTTATTTTACTAGCCTCCTAGTATTTCAATACAATAGATTAAAAGCTGGATTTATTCAAGTTGTATAGAATTGTTCTGAGAAAACTAGCTGTGTTCAAGCATCTCTGGAATTTTGCACATATAATGTTATTATAGAATTCTTTTTAAAAGATCCGAGAATGAACTTAGTTGAAAATTGCCTGCCCCATCCTACCCATTCATCTAGCTTTTGAGATCATATCCTGCTTAATAGCTTAAATCTACCAGAGTGAGGACATTTTTCAAGCATTGGAAATAGCATTTCTGAAGAAGGGGAGATTTTTGGGAAGTACTCAGAAGGTGGGCATTTGGCCAGGAAATGGGTATCTTGAAGTGTGTAACTTCTCATGACAAATTCCAGACATAAATGGAACTAAAGAAAAGTTTAATAAATCCATGAGCAAGCAGTCTTATTTCTTCTTTATCTCCACTTGACTATTCTCCTCCAACCAGATTATTTTGAGGAAAATCTCAATTATATCATTTCAGTACCTAACAGTTGTTATAAATTATTAAGTTTTTAGTTAGGAAGTGTTTTTTTTTTTTTTTTAATGTTTGTTTTTGAGAGTGGGTGGGAGAGAGACAGAGGATACAAAGCAGGCTCTGCGCTGTCAGCACAGAGCCTAATTCAGGGCTTGAACCCTCAAACTACGAGATCATGACGTGAGCCAAAGTCCAACGCTTAACCGACTGAGCCACCCAGGCGCCCGTTAGGAAGCATGTTTGATTGAAAATGTGTTTGTCATGCTGGATGACAAACTGATGATGGATGACTGAAAATAAATAAGGCATTTTTTTTTTAGTGTTCATTGTCTTGATCTTGCTTTAGCCAGGCATTTAAAAAAAATTTTTTTTTAATGTTTTATTTATTTCTGAGAGAGAGAGAGATTGAGAGAGAGACAGTGTGAGCAGGGGAGGGTCATAGAGAGAGGGAGACACAGAATCTGAAGCAGGCTCCAGGCTCTGAGCTGTCAGCACAGAGCCCGACGCTCGAACCCACAAACTGTGAGATCGTGACCTGAGCCGAAGTTGGACGCTCTACCTACTGAGCCACCCAGGCGCCCCTAGCCAGGCATTTAAAGTAGGATTGATTAATAATAGTTACAAATGTGAGACAGGAGGCATTGAGATGGAATTCAACTTGAGTGCTGAGCCATAATACATAGTAGGATGTTGAAAACTTAATGAGTTGAATTAAATGAAATAGAATTTATAGAGGCAAGTGTCTTGGCTTCCAGAAACCAGCATAGTTTTGAGATGATGGAAGAACATTTAGGCTTCTTTTAAGAACTGAACTTTGCTGGGAAGTCTAGACTTGCCAGAAGCCTATTACACAGTTCTGAGGTCTCCTAGAGCACATCAGTTCGGCTTACAGAACATCAGTAAAAGATTCTGTTTCTGCAAAAAGTTATTCTTTATCTAAACCAAATTACTTAAAGGGAAGTAAAAGAGTATATGTTAATTAATGGACTCTTGCTACGGTGCAGAAGAATTTTACTGCTCCTTTGAAGCTACTTCTATTTGATGATCTATAAATATATCTTGCTTAAGTTGGAAAGCATTTTCAGCCCTAAATGTGTTCTCTCATTGCACGTGACGTTCTCTAGTTGTACATTGTAAAAATGACAGATCAGCCGACTACTGGCTATATTATAAGTGTTTGTTTATTTATTTATATTTATTTATTTATAATTTTTAAAATATTTTATTTATTTCTGAGAGAGAGAGAGAGACAGTGTGAGCAGGGAGGGTCAGAGAGAGAGGGAGATACAGAATCTGAAGCAGGCTGCAGGCTCTGAACTGGATGTCAGCACAGAGTCCA